AGCGACCCCGCTGGGGTGCACTCGGACTGCGGTGCCGTGCGCACGTGGAGTGCCCCTGGCAGCTTTCATGAAGGGGCGTTTTGCTAACGTGTGTTCTGTCCAACCCCGAATGGGAGCTCACGTACCCCTGAGATCATGGTGTTTCACTTTGTTCGATCTGAGCGTTTTCGCCTGGCTTCGGGCCCCAGGACCTTCTCCTCCTCCTCCCTTCCTCCCTCCCTCCCTCCCTGCCTCGGCGCTCAAAGGATCGGGTCAAGGGTTCCGGTCGTGATTTTTCACGATGCTTCAGTTTTCCAAGCCAGACCGAGTCTTCTCCTCCTTGCCCGAGGCTCAGACGACGAGAGGCACTAGCGCCGCTACCATACCCTCGTCTTCGCCTCCGTGGGCCTCCTGGGAGGCCCTCGTCGACGTCGCTGGATCCGCCTTGAAGTCCTGGTTAGAGAACCCACCCCAGGAGAGACCTCGGGGAGCGGCGGGATGGGCACCTTGGTGTCCCCCAAGCAGGCATTGGGCGCACTTGGCGGGGGTCAGCGTTGACGGGGGGTCCGCAAGGCACCTTTGGCCGACCCGGGCTCGGGAGCCACGTGGGGCCCAGGGTGCGGCGAGGGCCCCCCGACGCCGAGAGCCACAGAATGCACTGGAGGGCTGGGTCGTTCCCGATATTGGGAGGCAACTCCCGGAGGGTCTTCTTCACATGGTTCGGGGCTATCAAGTCCGATTACAAGGGTCACTCACCACCCACCAAACCACCCCAACCCAACCCGAAGGTCCAAATGTATCCTCGATTTCCAGTGGGGGGGGGATCGGGGAACGTTGGAGAAACACATGGAACCCGTACCCCCCCCAACCCGAAATTCGGGTCAAATTCGGGTCTTCGGGTTGGGTTGGGGTGGTCTGGTAGGTAGTCAGTCACTGAGCTGGATTAGGCCGGATCGAGGCCGGGAACAGGCCAGACTGCGCGGGATTCCGCAGGATCCCGGGGTGGACAGGCCTCCTACCCTGACACGTCGATTGAGGAATTGGCCGTTTTCGGTTCGCGGGAGGGCGTCGCGGCCGTCACTTTTGCGGGTCCAGGTCCGTCGGGTCCGGTCCCAGGCCGCTTTCACTAAGGGGAGGTTTACTAAAGGGAGGTTTGTCCACCGCCGAAACCTCCCAACCCCCTTGGTGTCGCTCGGACGTGTGCACTTTTTCTCGGCGGGGATTATTAAGGAGCATCCTGGATCATCCTGAGAAATAACCACGCACGAAACCGAAGAAAGCACACATGGAATGGACGTCCGAGCGATGGCGAGCGATTGCGCAGCCGCGACAAAAGTTCTAAGCATTGCAAGACGTCTGCCCTCCGCTGGCCCGTCTTTGGGAGAGCTGAGCTGCTCAGCGGCCGCCCTGGCCTCGCCACGGGGCCCTGGCCGGCCACCAAGGCTTGCGCTGACCTGCTTCAGTGCGTCCCCGTCGGCGGGACTGGGTCCCAGGCATGATCGCGTCGGAACAAACATCAGGACGGGACGTTTTTTGTTGTGTTCGGCCTCGGGGTGCCCTCGCCGGGCCTCGGGGCCGTCAAAAAACGAGTCCGGATGAAAATTGGTCCCAGGGACAGGGTCGGGATTTCCAGGGGCCCCGTATCGAAAACAGGACGTCGCATGTCTGGGGTTGGGTCCGCTGGAAATGGGCATGGACATCGAAAAACGAAAGATCGGCACGAACATAGTTCCTCGGAGAAGCTCCGCGCGGATACCTTGGGTCAGCGCTGGGGCCCACCTGGCAGCGCCTCTGGCGCCGCCCTTGACGCGCTCCGCGCGCCAGGGAGGCGTGTCCAGTGCCGATCCATCGGCCACACGTAAGAGTGACCTTTCGCTGGAGTGACCTTTGGTGCGGGCATAGTGGGGGTCTCTTAGATGACAAAAACGAGATGCGAAAGCAGCGTCTTGCGCGTTCGGGCTTGACCTCCCCGCAGCCCCCAAAACTCGTGCACCACGGCACTCGTGCCTGAGGTCACTCTTGCGTGTAGCCGAGTCCGAAAAGTAGCGCAGACCTCCGAGAGTTCCTTCCCACCCAAGCAGTGCTTGCACTTAGGGGTTCTTACTTGTGCTCTGAGAAACTTGGCCGTGTGGGCGGTCTGGCGGCTCCGTGCCCGCCGTCGCCGCCCCGTCGCCGCCCCGTCGCCGCCCGTCGCCTGGGCCGTGTGGGCGGTCTGGCGGCTCCGTGCCGGCCGTCGCCGTCCCGTCGCCGCCTTGTCGCTGCTGGTGGATTGAACGACATAGATAGCACACACAAAATCGCGACTGCGGCACTTTGTTTCTCGTTCACAACATAGACTGCACCGCATATGTGTATATATCGATATATTTACATACATACATACATACGTACATACATACATACATACATACATACATACACACACACATATATATATATATATATATATATAGCACTGCCTATGCAGCACAGCATAGAGAGCACCACACAGATTGCACACCATATAATGTACAACGCTTGC